AATTCACAAAGTTCATTTTTCCCCCTTTCCTTTACAGTAGCTTTAGAAAATTGCTTTTTGATGATTTAGCAAATTGTATTTATTTTTAAAAGAATCTCATTTATTGAGATTGATAATTCCAGGTTTCATTTGCTTTGAAATTACATTTTCCAATGATAAGTTCTGGGAAAATGTGGTTCCACATGCCAGTGAAATAAAGATTAAAAAAAAAGTCAGTTGACTTACTCTGTAAATGTAGTAATTTATCGTTCCTACTAAACTCAAAATATGAGAAGATTGAAGTAAAAATTATTAGGATAATTTTAACAGCAATTTAAGAACAAGACAAGTATTTAAATAACATAAAACTATTCATATAAATTTTGTATTTGAAATATCTTTAAAAATTTTAGTCATTCTCCAAATGTATTTTCTATCTCTGTTATCAGAGATGGACTATTACAAGTTATCGATGCTTATTAAAAAAAAAAATCTTGTTATTCAGACACCAAGAAATTCAAAAGATAAACCAGTCTGATTTATTTTGTAGTACTATAATGGAAAGATGGCCCTGAAGCACTACAAAAGAGTCATGTGCCTTCTGAATGATCAGAGCACAATCACGTTCACCTCAGTAGTATTTAGTACTAAGGGCATTTTAAATGAAAACTAAACCTCTGACAATTTGACAGAGATGTAATGTCTCAATAGCAACACCTGGTCAATCAAAACATTAAAACAGCAATACCAGATACAGAGGAAAAAAAAACTATAATTTACACAAGAGTATTTCTGGTTCTTGAGGAAGTGGGCAAAGCGAGTTGAACTACCAAAACAAAAGCTTCCAAAATGAACTTATAATGTATTAGCTTATGAAAAGCTATGTGTTAGGCCTCAAAAATGGTACCAGTAAAAATGGTGCTTAGATAACTCCAAAATCTAATTTTGGGGTTATTTAGCATTTTATAAGACAACAATATGTAACCAGTTCTATTATCTTAAACACACCAAAGCGCACACAGAGAAAAACAGACCTATCACTTGATATCTACTGTGTGCATGGGGTTATTATGGTTTTTACAGATCTGCTTATGTAGCCAAGGACCTCTCAGAAACATATTTAGGAATCCCAACATATATCCAATTAACCTGGAAAAGAAAAGATTCTGGCTGACTTTTTGAATCTCTTCATTTCACATTTTAAGTTATTTTAAAAGAAAAACATTCCATATTAGCATTAGGCAATTAGAAAATTATCTATCCTATCTTACATCACAATCTCAGGATAAAGGCTTTTGCATAGATACAGTCTCAGAACCAAAACCACGCTCTTATTCCTTCTGGACTGTAAAACATAGTTCTAGAGTTAAACCCAAATCTGTTGACATTTAGGGGTACCCACTATGTAGTATGGCATAGAATGCTTTAGAGAATAACATTCTCACTCAGTATAAAACTCCAAACTGTGAAAACACAAAAAATACATTTCTAAATGGGTATTTCCAAGTAAGGACAGAAAACTAAGTGGCAAAATGAAATGTAATATTGTTACTTATGGTTTATAAGATATACTCTGACACACTGTGGCCGTAAGCCTTTACTAGGCCAGAAAGGAAGGCAAGCACACTCACTTCTCTACTCTTCTCCATTTCCCAGATAACAAATATTCTATTTTTTGAAGTGTAAATTCTAGGCATTCAAAATATTATATATAAAAAAACAAGGCTTAATTCTTCTAAAGCAGTTACATTTGCTTCCTGCTTAAATCTTCAGTTGAAATAAAAGGCAGTAGGGTTTGAAATACATTTTAACAATGCACACAAAGAAATCAAATGCAAAATTAAACATAAAAGATGCATTGTGCTTTTCGGTTCTTAACACATACAGCCCTCAAATAGCAAACTCCTGGTTACTTTTTAAAGTAGATTAAAAACAAGATTAACCAAATGTCCAACTCATGTCAAATCATAGCCTCTACTAGTTAAAAATTCTGTTGGTTGTAAAACTCTGTTGGTGGCCATATTGGCCCAGGATTTTTAATATAAATGAGAGTAGAAATGACAGGGGGTGGGGGAAGGGACATTCTTTCTTGAATAGTTAAAAAGGGAAAATTTTTATATAGAATTAGTTATTTGAAAGATGAAAAAGAACATTAAAAGTCAGCCTCTACAAAAATCTGAAAATGTAGCAGAAATGAAAATACAAGAAGTTATATTATTAAACATTTAAAAACATTCTAAACATTTTTGAAGGAGGTAAAAATATTAACTATTTGAGGAAATTATGTAATTGTTAAATAAAAACAGTATTTTTTTCTTTTTTTATGGTCTCCAAATTGATAAAGACATTAAATTATATAATTTTAGAATCATTAAAACATAAAAAGATGGTGTCATCAGATGGTTGTTAGAATATGGATGTTTGTGTGTATGTAGTCTTTTTAGTTTTATTAGCATGCACCCTTTAGAATGACGGTCTTTAGCTTTTATTAATGTAGTCAAGTCTAGCTGATTAAAAAGCTATTATATTCATATACAGGTTGTTGAAGATATTTCATTTTATTTTTCTTGAAGTTGTTGAAAATAGTGAACACTTCTATAACTTTCTTCTTAGTTCTGAAAGTGTTTTAAGGAATTTTTTATTTGGAATATTTCAGAAGTCCACTAGTAACAATCAACTACACCACATTTCTTATATGTTTGAGAAACAATATTCTATTTAACCTACAGACGTTTTTGATTTTTAAAGAAAATGATTCCTGGGTGAACATTAATTTACTATTAAAATTTAAGTTGCTCTATAAATGATCTTCTAGTTGGGAGGCACATAAAAGCAACTGTAAAGCTCCCAAATATAAACATTTCCAAACTGGATACTAATCACATTTCCCATCATTTGGGATAAGAAATCTGACAATTTTGGTTAGAAAAAATAATTAATCAATGCTTAAGTGCAGAAAGGTCCAGAGTTTTAAGCAGACTGGTTGAAATGAATAAGTAGTAATAATTCTAACCAAGGCTTCATTACTTGGTCATTGCGCTGACTGACTCAACATTCATGTGTGAGGGCTACTAGGAGTCAATAGATGGCAGTCCATCGCCTAGTAAAAGAGCTGAAGATGACTAAAATCACCATGCATCTTGTTTTTATTCAAGGTTGAATAGTCCTTCATTGCATACATTTGGATATTGTCCATATACTGATAATTTAAATACTTAAGTATTTTATTTTAGAGACACTGATATATGCACAACTTCATAAACACGTTAGTTTTATATTTATACTTGCATAGTAAACTCATTATTAATTTCAACTTGATAATTTATAAACTGTGATGGCAACTTCAATATTATTTTTTAAAAATTAACCAGGATTCCAGATTGGAACAAAGTTTTCAAATTGAATTTGTTATACCTATAAATAGAATATATTGTAATTCCTTAAAAAGTAAATTTATTTTGTTTTCATTTATTTTTTCCTAATGATTCTTTTTAAAATTTATGTTTCTGAACAGCTAAAATATTAAGCAAACCATCAAATATCTGTTATATTGAAACAAATTTTTACCCTTTAACTACAGGTATATAAAAGAACACAGGTGTAAATAATCAAAAGAGCAGCTTTAAAATCATACTTCCTATACTTCAAGATTGGAATTGTTTAAATTAAGGGAAAAGCTGAAATAAATGCAATGTCAAATCTACAAGGATATTACTTTATACGGTTACAAAGAGTAGCTCTGTGATCTCGAAAAGTGTAACACATATAATTAGATTCTAATTAAGTTTAGGCTGTAAGGATTTCACTATGTTAGGATAAAAAACTGCTATATAAGCACAAACTTAATGTATTCAGATGAATTACATCTGTAACATATATGTGTAACATACATGGGTATGTATATATTTTTGGGTAGAACATGTTAACAAATCCTAATTTGAGATTTGAGGAATACTTGAGGAGTTACAGCTTTCTACTGAAAATCTTTAAATAAATTAAATGGTAATCACAAAGTGTGAAAACAAACCACCTTATATAATTTATGGCCTCTTGGGCCTGTAACAGACAGACAGGTAGTTTGAGTCTACTTGTTGGTTTACTTTTATTTCCCTAAAGAGAATGATAAGAAGAAAGTCATGTTTTGAAAGAACTTTGCCCTTTGTATTTTTACAAGCTGTCTTTGTGTAAACAAACTTTGAAATATGCTAAACCTTAAGAAACAATGTTTAACAACTTTTAATTAATATATATTATGTTATATAACTGTAATAACTAAAAGAATAATGGTCTGTTGCTTTGCACAACATATTTAATACAGTAAAAGAAGTGAGTAGTAAGGCTATGGTGAATTATTGAAATGATTTAAGCTGAACAACATTAAAAGTAAACTAAATTCATAATATTGAGCACCAGTCAATTAGATTCTCTAGCAAACTATATTTTCTGCTTCTACTTAGCCTAAAATCATAATAAAAGGAAACCAGGAATTGAATCATTTGAATGGTATTAAGCAGATATTTATACATTTTGAATAAGTCAAGAAGGGCTTAAGGATATGACAGTTGAATTATTCTATATGAAATATACACTAAGCTTTTTCTAGGTTCATTGAAAAAGATGAGTAACTGTTTCAGTAAAGGCAAATGAAGATACTGTGGACTGAATGCTTGTGGACTGTGGATAATACAACATTTAAAGACACTGGATTATTATTCTTTAAGGCTCCCAGTATACTTTTACCCTTTAGTTTAATGAATACAGTCTGGAAGACTAAGAGATACCATGATGTAATCATTAAATGATGTGAGTAATAAAAAAATCAAATTCTTTTAAGAACAGGAAGATAGGGTAGGGGGCAGTGGAAAAGAGAAAAAGTATATTATTGCTTTCTCAGTACAAAAACTCTTCAGATGTTTATTATCTTCCAGCAGAAGATGCTTGTCTATATTTTATGGTCAGCAGTTCAGAGAAGGGTAAATAGGCTAGGTCTTGGGGAAAATAAAAAAGGTGTTTCTACTCAC